GTTTCTAGGAATCTTTTGATTTCCTCTTTGATTTCCTGTCTAATCCACTCATTGTTCAATAGTGCACTGTTTAATTTCCAGGTGTTTGATTTAGTTTTCTGTTTTTGTGTGTGATTTACTTCTAATTTCAGCGCATTATGGTCTGAGAAGATTGTTGATACAATCTCTACCTTCTTAATTTTATGGAGGCATGTTTTGTGGCTCAGCATGTGGTCTATCTTGGAGAATGTTCCATGGACGCTTGAGAAGAATGTGTATTCAGCTTTTTGTGGATGAAGTGTCCTGTATATATCTACTAAGTCCCTTTCTTCCATTGTTTCCCTCAAATGAAGTATGTCCTTGCTAAGCTTGAGTCTGGTTGATCTATCAAGAGGTGACAAAGCAGTGTTGAAGTCTCCCACTAGTATTGTGTTGCTATTGATGTCTTTTTCCAAATCTATGAGTAGTTGTTTTAAGTACTTTGCTGGTCTCTCATTAGGTGCATATACATTTATTATTGTAAGTTCTTCCTGTTGTACAGATCCTCTGATCAATAAGTAATGGCCTTCACTGTCTCTTATGACCTTCCTCACTCTGAAATCAATGTGGTCTGATATAAGGATGGCTACCCCAGCTTTTTTATGGGAGCTGTTTGCCTGTAGGATTGTTTTCCAGCCTTTGACTCTGAGTCTGTGTTTGCTTTGACTATTGAGATGCGTTTCTTGCAGGCAGCAGAATGTTGGGTTCAATTTTCTAATCCATCCTGCCACTCTATGTCTTTTAATTGGTGTGTTTAGCCCATTGACATTGAGAGAGATTATTGTTATGGGATTTTGTCCCATTGTTCTGTTAAAATTGGGTGTATTTGAGGGGCCTTTCTTGCCTTAAAGTAGCCCATTTAGTTGTTCTTTTAACCATGGTTTTGAGTCTATGAAGTTCCTGAGCTGTTGTTTGTCTGTGAAACTGTGTGTTGTTCCTTCTATTATGAATGAGAGTCTTGCTGGGAAAAGTATTTTGGGGGAGGCATTTATTTCATTGAGTTTTTTTACTATGTCCCACCACTGTTTTCGGGCCATGAGGGTTTCATCAGAAAAATCAGCTGTGAATTTTAAGGATGCTCCTTTGTAAGAGATTTCTTTCTTCGATCTTGCTGCTTTCAGAATTTTGTCTCTGTCTAAGGTTTTGGTCATTTTGATCAGAATGTGTCTTGGGGTATTTTTATTCGGATTTCTTCTAGCTGGTACCCTTCGGGCCTCCTGAATGTGGTCACAAGTTTTCTTCAGCTCTGGAAATGTTGTAGCAATGATGTCTTTGACAGTTTCTTCTTCATCGAGGTTTTCTTCCTGTCCCTCTGGGACTCCAATAATTCTTATGTTACCCCTCTTGGCTTCATCACGATCTTCTCTTGCCATCTGTTCCCGAATTGTGAGTCTCTTTTCCATTTTCTGCTCTTTTCTGGAGAGTCTCTGAACTTCATCCTCGAGCTCACTGATTCTGTTCTCAGCCGCTGTTACTCTGCTGCTGAGGCCTTCCACTGAGCTTTTCAATTCGCCTACGAGATTTTTCAGGTCTGACATTTCTGATTGCATTTTCCTCATTTCTGCCTTCAGATCCTCTTGTCTTCTATTGGCATTGCTTTCCATTGTTTCTTTTAATTCCCTAAGCATCCTAAGTAGCTCCCTTCTGAATTCCTTGTCAGAGAGGTTGTCTAACACTACAGTACTGTTGGTGTCATCTGGGCTAGACTCTTCAATATGAATGTTTGGTGGGCTTTTGCGTTGCTTTACTAGTCCTTCACGTTCAGTGTTACTATTCTGCTTGATATGCAGTGTGAGTTAAGATAGGCTTATGAGTTATTGGCAACTGTATTTCTAGTGGCTGAGCTAAAATAGAGAAGTTTCCATCTAAGAAGTTAGCTTATGGTTCCTATGGCATATGTAGTGGGAAAATATTTTGCGGCCGCGTTAGCGGCCGCGGCTCCGGAAAGAGTCCCTGGCACTGGGCGAGGAGTTGGGAATGTCTCCTGTTTGGAATTGGAGCCGTTCAGCTTTGTTGCCCAGAGCTGGGCCTCTGTGCCCGTCCCACGCAGATCAGGGGTTGAAAACCGGCTGTCTCGGGGCTGTTTCTAGCTGCGCGTGCCCAGAGAGGAACCCAGGCCCTTGGGGGCGGGCTGTACCTGTTGGAATTGGAGCCGTTCAGCTTTGTTGCCCAGAGCTGGGCCTCTGTGCCCGTCCCACGCGGATCAGGGGTTGAAAACCGGCTGTCTCGGGGCTGTTTCTAGCTGCGCGTGCCCAGAGAGGAACCCAGGCCCTTGGGGGCGGGCTGTACCTGTTGGAATTGGAGCCGTTCAGCTTTGTTGCCCAGAGCTGGGCCTCTGTGCCCGTCCCACGCGGATCAGGGGTTGAAAACCGGCTGTCTCGGGGCTGTTTCTAGCTGCGCGTGCCCAGAGAGGAACCCAGGCCCTTGGGGGCGGGCTGTACCTGTTGGAATTGGAGCCGTTCAGCTTTGTTGCCCAGAGCTGGGCCTCTGTGCCCGTCCCACGCGGATCAGGGGTTGAAAACCGGCTGTCTCGGGGCTGTTTCTAGCTGCGCGTGCCCAGAGAGGAACCCAGGCCCTTGGGGGTGGGCTGTACCTGTTGGAATTGGAGCCGTTCCATGATTATATTTCGTCTAGTGTTCTGCCAATCCTATTCAGGATGACTCGAGTGAACAGTTTGTAGATTACAGACAATAGGCAGATCGGGCGATAATTGCCAATGTCGTGGATGTCTCCCTTCTTGAACAGTAGTACAGTCCTGCTGGTTTTCCATTGGGACAGAACCTTGCATTCAGACAGGTAGCGTGTGAAGAACCGAGCCAGTGTATTGATGAGTACTGATGGCAGGTTTTTCAGGTATTCAGGTCTGACCTTGTCTGGGCCAGGTGCTCTTCGTTTCTTTACCGACGAAATGGCGTGTCGGATTTCTGAAGGGAGAATGTTGGGAACGACATATTCATCCTGCGGAATTTGGTATGTGGGCAGGTGGATGTGGCTATCAAAGAGATCTGAGTAGAAGTCATGGATAATCTTCTCCATTGCCCTTCTGGGAGATGTGATAGATCCATCAGGATGTCAGAGGGCAGTCATAGTTGGCAAAGGACAGGCGGGCATTGCGAATGCTTTTCCCAGCTTCTGCCGCATCTACCAGCACTACTGCTCTTCTCTTTGAGGTCTTCCTTTATCGCATCTCTGCACTGCTTTGTGAGTGCAGACATTCGCTTGCGGTTGCCTGAGGCATGTGCCATCCCACGTTGGCAAATGAGCTCAATTGAAACCAAAGCACAAAAATTTGTAAGTGTACAACTATAACTCATGGTGTCTCACTAATAAAAATTAAAAAAAAAGAATTTTCGAAGACAGGTGTTTTTTTGTGGCTGTCTCTCTTGACGTTCCTCACACAATCATGGAGATGCTGCACCAGTCAATCGTATTCCTTCTCACTGTTGTCAGTGTTGTCAATGTTGTCAATGACGGCATCTTCAGAGACCTGGCCCCTATGAAACTGGATGAGAACACTATCTGTGTCTCCCAAAGAGGAATCGAAAAAGCTATGCTTGGAGTATCTCGTTTCACTAAAATGAGAGAAAGAATCCGGAATTCCGACCTTCGTTGATGGTCAAAAATCAGGGATGTTGTCTCGTTTGCCAAGGCATCTAAAGTCTGATGGGCTGGACACGTAATGAGATTTGGATACAGCCACTGGACTAAAGCCGTTACCGAATGGATTCCATGGAACTTCAAAAGACCGTGTGGCCGCCCACCTATGAGATGGTCAGACTTCTTCGTCAAGACCCTTAATGATCGGTTTGAGGCTCTTCATGTTCCTAGAACGAACAGACACCATTGGGCTACACTAGCACACGACAGGGACAAATGGAGACGTTACTGTTGCCCGCTCGAGCAAATTGATGATTAAAGGGAAGTCAAGTGATCAAGTGATCAAATCAACTTTCAAGTCCAGTCACAGTATCCATTGTGTGATGGTGTTCTGATCACTGGGTGCCTCCAGAGTCTTGTCTCTCCCGTTTTTTCTACTGCAATTTCTACTGTGTTGTTTTGACCACCTGTGTCTATGCAGCAACAGAAATTCTGCTCTCTTTCCTGCTACATAAACACCGGAGGTTTTGCCATCTATTTAAAAAAAAGCATGAACTTAGATTGATGAAATGTCCACTGGTGATAAACTCATAGGATAAAATTTTATGAGATGTGTAGTTGATTTCTGATTTTCAATAAATGTATTTTCCTTATAGTTATCTAGAACTTCATATCTTTTGGCTATGTTTAGGCAAACTTTATGCTAATAAGATGTGATTCACTCTCATTGTTGGGCTTCTTATTCTGGTATTCATAAGCATTGGGCTCAGAATTGGAGCATGAGTAGCAATTGAAATAGTAAACATGAATACAGAACTTAAGAGTGGTTTTTGCATTATTTCCACCATAATGAGTATTTAATTCTTCCAGGGTTTCATTTTGCAGCCAGAAAAATCCCCATATTTTGATTTTCTAATGCCTTTTTTCTATCTCATTTCCAATCATTTAATAAATTTCCAGTTTGGCTAATTCTGCACTTATACGTTTACAACAAAACAGAAAGATTTTTCTCTTGGCTTTTTTTTCCCCTTTAGCACTGTATCATACTTTTGTCTTATAATCCCTACAGACCTTATTTTATGAATTTAATTCTACCTTGCTGTTAAACTCTTCATGACATCTTGTTTAATCCTATTTTATATTTGATATGATTTAGACTTTTGCAAGCAAGGAATTATATTATGAAATGTGACATAAATTTAGAATGGTTTGTGTTTTTTTCACACATATCCTTCAGATTTTTTCATGTTCATAGACACTGTGAATTTAGTACCATTAAATTAAATTGATTTTTTAAAGAGTCATTTGATCTTTTTAAATATTAACCCTGGTCAGAGCTTAAAAATTCACAAATGACCGTACTTTTCAATATCGTTCAATTGCAGGGGGAGAAAGGATTTCCAGGATTGGAAGGCCATCCAGGTTTGCCTGGATTTCCAGGTCCTGAAGGTCCTCCAGGGCCTCTGGGACAAAAGGTATGTTCCAAATTGTTAATTAATAATAACAAAAGAATTTAGTCATTTAAAATATGGATATAGAGATTATATCTACCAAAAAGTAACTTGAATTATACCCAGAACCCAGTCCTATTAAAGAACTAGTTGTTACTCCCATAGTCAAATTATTTTAGAAGATGCTGTTGATTTCTTGCATTTATTGATATTCTTTAAGACATTAAATTTATTATTATTTTATGTTATTTTAAATTTGTTCAAAATAATTTATTACATTCAATATTTCAACACAAATCCCACCACCATTATACCTTCCCACCATCATAGTTTGAATTTTCTCACCACACCCCAAAATCTAAATAATTTATTTTGAATTGTTTGTTATGAATAATCTGTTAAAATGATACAAAAAACTTTCCTTAGAGGAAATTGTATGAAAATTGTTATATCTCACTCTGGAGCCATTAAACCCTTATATAAGAGATTACTAACATGTTGTTACAGGTTGAACCTTGTGTGCTACATATACATATTTATATATATATATATATATAAATACATACATATTTGAGATTGGTTGCCTTCTACTTTATACCCTATCAACTGTGATGTGCTACTCTTCATATATCAGGGGCATAGAGTATGATATGTCGCTCCAGGAATTTTAAAATTTTGAATAGAGTTATACAGCTAGAGTTATAACTGGATGATGACTTTGGGGTCCAGAGACTTCTCTTGTAGTTTGTTTCACTCTTCTGAGATTTATTTATGAGTCTCTGGATCATGGATGTTAATGAGATTATATGGTGCCAGAGGCAGTTCGTGGGCATGACTGCCACATTACCAAAAGATCAGGGATATGGAGGGAAGTCACCCATTCGCACTCTGTGCGAGTCTGGAGATTTTGGTCAAAAAACCCACATAATCTGAGTTTTTCAGAAAATTCACTCATGGATGAGGCTCATGTGAGCCTGTGGTGATCATCTGTGAGCATGGCGGTGATTGAGTTCTGGAGGTTTTCAGCTGCTGGGGCTCTGTTGGATTGGGAGGAGAGAGTCACCTACCCCGCTCCAGGTTACCTGGGATTAAACATTAACTTTAGTCAGGAGCTTGGCTAAGGTAAAGAGAGTCGAATTGCTACATATCAGAGTAGCTGATCAAGATTGCATGCCCAAATGGTAGTGACTGGTAAACGTACAGTGATAGTATAAGCAAACAGTTTAGCCAGAGAAAATGCTAACGCTTATTGCTCAATTTTGCCCCAAGAAATAGCACCATTGATATTAGTACTTGATAAATAAATATAGATATAAAGAACTATAGAATTAGCCCCATTGAATTAGCCCCCTCAATTTTGCCCCAAGAATTAGCACCATTGAATTAGCACTTGATAAATAAATATAGATATAAAGAACTATTTCACTGCTTAGGTCTCTTGGAAAAAAATGCTTTTTTAATTTTTTGAACTAAGATCATAATGGGAGGGAGAAGGGAAAAGGCTAGGAATGGAAAACTAGTAAGTCAGAGTGCAGCAAAAATATCGTAAAGGGTCCTTACTCTGCTGCTAAGGAGTTCTCCAGGCTCTAAATAAAAAGCCTTTCTTTCAATGAAGAGATCAATGGCCAGACAGAGAATATGAGTTCTTGATTGCAACATCTTAAAGAGACTGCAACTGTACTGTATCTGGTTTAGGATATACATGTTTTCCATATGATGCCTATATTATCCCTTTGTAATATCTCGTGATTTGCCTAAAATATAATAAACCAGACTCCTGAACTTCGGGTTTGAGTGATTATCATAGGCTACTCTATCACGGAAATCAACGAGATGAACTTTTATGGTCATTGTCAGAAACTAGGCAGCCAGTCTAAGGCCACAGTGTATTATAGTCATGATCAAAATTATTCCGCAGAATTATCACACAGCTAGAAAGATTGAGTATATCCATGAACCCAACCATTGCCAAGCCAGGATTAGATGGCCCCCATTTCTCACGCAATGTAATTTAGACAGCCAAGAGATTTTTTCCTGTTTTTTGGGCCACATCCCTCAAGGTTTACTCCTAGTTTTGCATTCTGGGATCACATCTACTGGGATGGAGGAACCACATGGGATGCTAGGGATTAAACCCAGGTTGGTCTTGTGCAAGGCAAAACGCCCTATTCACTGTACTGTAGCTCATACAATAAAAGACTTTTTTCCTTAAGTTTGTTGATATGCTGTCCTGTTTTACCAGTAATGTAAAAAAGTATACTGATTTTTCAGTAATGTAGTGTAACACAGGTGATGACAATAACAGAACCTCGCCTTGATTGACCAGGAGAAAATTTAAGGTTTCTATTGTCCGAAACTCTTGGGCCAAGGAATTGAGTCTATTATTATCTTTAGCTTTAGGAACATCAAAAGAGATTATGAATAGGTCGTGTGCAACCTCTTCAAATGAAATGACCCCGATAGTGGGAGGAAATTCCTTGGAGCACAATCCTAAGCAGAGTCAGTAATACCAAATAATAGTTCTGATTTCTGGAGTCTTCCCCATCCGGGAGTTAGTCTATTATTATGGTGTGTTAATGGAATGTGATAAACAGCAAGATAAGCTTCCTAAACTGGTCATAGGTTACATACATAGGTGAATAAAATTAAGATTGAAGGTGAAATTAAAGTTGCTAAACAAACTGATTTTAAAAACAGCACAGTATTCTGGATATATGGGTAAGCCCAAAGGTTTAATTGTTGAAGTGAACTATTCCTATTAAGAGGTGTTATATTTTTGGTTTTAAAGAAATATTCTTAGCATTTTTCATAATGGGCTGTAACAATTTACATTCTCGGAAAAATTGTACGGAGTTTTCCACATACTTGACAACACTTTTTATTTCTTATTTTATTTGTAGTTGCAATTTTAACAAGTGTGAGGTAAATATATCATGGTATTGATTTTCATTTCCATGATTATTAGTGATGTTGACTATCTTTACATGGGACTATCATGAAGGGCTTTCTTACGTTCTTTTTAACTTCTTTTGATTCCCAATGCAATGCTTCTTCTTTGGGTATAAAATTCTTCAATAACTTTCACAATGGTTAAAAACATCTAAGTCTTATTTTATAATCTAAAATTTTACCTGAAAGCCCTTTTTGAATGAAAAGATACTAAAGATGTATTTTTCAGGGTGATGATGGAATTCCAGGACCACCAGGACCAAAAGGCATTAGAGTAAGTGATTTTCTTGTATGTTAAATATTTTGTCAAACAGAATGAAATGAATTTATATGAGATGACTGGAAAACTCACTGAAGTGAGAAAATAAGAATACAATCTTAGTGGTGGAGTTTTTTGGTTAATTTTGATGTGAAAGTGCATTGGATTTGTACATTAAAACCATACATGTTAATATTACTGTAACCATATTACCTCAAGTATAATAAAAATTAAAGATTCAAAAGAAGAGAAACTCAGAAAGTTAAACTGAATTATTTATGTAGGTATTCAGTTAATCTTTCTTTATACATCCAAATGTCTACTTAATCTAATGTAAAATATTTTAATTTAGCTTATTAACAAGAAATATGATGCTAAATTACAACTTGGTCACTTGATCACTTGACATCACTTGACATCCGGGTACTCATGGATTTGCTCCAGCAGGCGCCAGTAACGTCCCCATTCGTCGCTGTTGCAATGGCGTCTGCTCGCTTCAGGAACATGAAGAGCTTCAAACTAATCATTCAGGGTCTTGACGAAGAAGTCTGACCATCTCATAGGTGGGCAGCCATGAGATCTTTTGACGTCCCGTGGAATCCAGTCAGTAATGGCTCTAGTCCAGTGGTCATCTCCAAATCATGTTATGTGTCCAGACCATCAGATTTTAGATGCTTTGGCAAACGAGACAGCGTCCCTGATTCAAGATCGTCGACGGAGGTTGGAACTCCGGATTCTTTCTCTCACTTGAGTGAAGCATGATACTCCAGGCATAACCCTTTCAATTCCCCTTTGGGAGGCCCAAATAGCATTATCATCCCATTTTTGTAGGGCCCAGATCTCCACTACCCAGCCACCACCACGCTCCAAGCTGCTTTCTGGACGCTTGGGCCGAGACTCACGGACGAGTGAAGCCCCACAGAGCCAGGTAAGTGGAATTTTGTCACCCTGGACTCCAGGTTCAACAGGACCCAGAAAAAGAGATCCTCTGCCTGCTCCCACCAATCTCCAGAGACCCAGGGATCACACCCAGAAGCCCCACCCTACTTGTACAAGATAAATACCTCATTGGCATTCCTCCAATATCTCCACTATTTCCACTACCCAGGCAACGCCATGTCCAGAACGCATTCCAGACACATCCTAAGACACTTAATACCCATCTTCCAAGATTACCACACCATATTTGATGGGGTTCAAATATGGTTTGAACCATGGGAACACCTGCAAGGGCGATTAGAGGCAGCCCTAAAAGCCTCTGTCCCTCTCAGAGAGCTTGGCAAGCTACCAAGAGTATCCCACCCACACGACAGAGCCTGGCAAGCTATCTGCGGCATATTCAATATACCAAAAGCAGTAAATACAATGGGTCTTATTCCCTGACCCTGAAAGAGCCACTAATATGATAGCGCTAAGAAGGGTGAGGAAGGAGAGCCTGATAAAATCTCAAGGTCGAAATAGGCTGCCAAAACAGAGAAGTACTAAAATGACTGTCTGTACTTTCAACACACATACACTGGCATTGGAAGCATCCATCAAGCACCTGATGGTGCAAGCACAAAGATCAAGTATGACATCATTGGTCTGACTGAGACGAGCAGACATCAGTCACATCACACCATTTTCGACAATGAAGAACAACTATTCCTCAAAACATGTGAAAAAAGAGGTGTCGGTGGTGTCGGGCTCCTTGTCAACACGAACTTTGCCATAAACATTGATTCATTTGAATGCCTAACAACCTGAATCGACTACTACACTTGAATAGATGTGGCTCACTGATGGCAGTTTGTATCTTCATTTTCTATGCACCAACATCCATTTATGATGAAGATATTGAGAAGTTCTACATGGAGCTGGAGAAATTTTATAAAGAAGACCACACCTTCTGCAAGATCAATGTCGGTGATTATAATGCCAATATAGGACCAAGAAGATCAGCCGAGTAACTCTACATCGGGACCCATGGACTAGAATGGAACAAACAGGGTAAGAGACTAAGTTCATCATGTCGACCAAGACCATCCATGGTAACTCACAGTTCCAGAAGGCCGTATCTAAACGTTGGACATGGGAGTCTCCCGGTGGATGGTTCCACAACAAAATTGACCACATCATGTTCAATCAATGGTTTTTCCTGACTGATGTCACTGTTGTCCCAAAATTACAAACAGGATCGGGCCACCGTCTCCTTCGTGCAAAATTCTACTTCACAGAGCGGGGAGAAAGTGCTGCAAAGTTTAAGAAGAGATCCTCCAGAATGACCACCAACTGGGAGCTCTTTGGCACTATTGCGGCAACATGGGAAGATGCCGTCATTGATAACATTGATGAAGAATACAATCGACGGGTTCAGCACCTCCATGACTGTGCGAGGAACATTGAGAGAAAGCCATAAAAAGATGCCTGTCTTTGAAAACTCTCGTGCTCATTTGTCAACGTAGCTTGGCATGAGCCCCAGCAAGCAAACGTCCAAGCTCGTAAAGCAGTGCAGAGAAGCACTAATGGAAGACCTCAAAGAAAGAAGAGCATCAGTGCTTGCCGATGCGGCAGAAGCCGGGAAAAACATTCACAATGCCTGCCTGTCCTTTGCGAACTTCAAGACCAAGATGACTGCCCACCAATATCCGCATGGATCTATTACATCTTCCAGAAGGGCAGTGGAGAAGATTATCCATGACTTCTACTCGGATCTCTTCGGTAGCCACATCCACCTGCCTACATACCAAATTCCGCAGGATGGATATGTTGTTTCCAACGTTCTCCCTTCCGAAATCCGACACACTATTTCGTCGGTAAAGAAGCGAACAGCATCCAGCCCAGACAAGGTCAGACCTGAACACCTGAAGAACATGCCATCAGTACTCATCAATACACTGGCTCGCTCTTCCCACGTTACCCGTCTGAATGCAAGGTTCTGTCCCAATTAAAAACCAGCAGGATAGTTCTACTTTACAAGAAGGGCGACTTTCACAACATGCATTGGCAACTATCGCCTGATCTGCCTATTGTCTGTCGTCTACAAACTGTTTCCACGAGTCATCCTGAATAGGGGTAGAACAGTAGATGAAGGACAACCATGCAAGCAAGTTGGGTTCCGAAAAGGATTCAGCATGATCGACCATATTCACAGGGTAACCAAGCTTATTAAGGTTTTGTGAGAGTTCAAGATGCCACTCTGTCTAACGTTGATTGATTTAAAGAAGACCTTTGATTCTTTTGAGACTGAAGTGGTCATTGAAGCCCTAGCCAAACAGGGCGTTCAAACTCAATACATCAGGATCCTCCGTGAGCTGTATTACAGATTCTCTACCAGGATCTCACCATTCTACAAGGATATGATTATCAACATCAAGAGAGGGCGTTAGACAGTGTGATACCATTTCACCGAAACTCTTCAGTGCCACCCTCAAGAACGTCATGTGACGACTGGAATGCGAAGGAATGGGAGTGAAAATAGACGGTTGGCAAATACACCACCTCCGCTTCGCTGATGACATCATTCTAATAACACCAAACATCAGCCAAGCAGCACAAATGCTGGCCGACTTTGACCGTTAGTGTGGAAAGGTCGAACTGCAGCTGAATCTCACAAAGACAATGTTTATGAGAAACAGACTATTTCCTGACCTTACATTTGCTGTCAATGGAATGAACATCTTCAAATGCTCCAGTTATGTGTACCTAGGTTGAGAACTCAACATGACGAATGACCTGGCACCTGAGTTGTGCACGAGGAAGAGAGAGGCTTGGAAAGCCTTCAAGAGCGTCGAAGAAATAGCTAAGAGGATGAAGAACCTCCGGCTCCGGGCACATCCCTTCGATTGCACTATTCTTCCTACATTAACAAATTACAACAGTTTTTCAATTTATTGAAAATATGTACCGTACTAGTAGTTTAGGTTGGAGTGATAGAACATCGGGTAGGAATTTTGCCTTGCACGCGGCCGGCCTGGGTTTGATTCCTTCGCCCCTCTCGGAGAGCCCGGAAAGCAACCGAAAGTATCCCACCCGCACAGCAAAGCCTGGAAGCACCCTGTGACGTATTCGATATGCCAAAAACAGTAACTACAAATCTCACAATAGAGACGTTACTAGTGCCCACTTGAGCAAATTGATGAACAACAGGAGGACAGTGCTACAGTGCTAAAAGTAGTTTAAATCAGAATTTTCTTTCAGTGAATAGAGCATGAGACCCATTTTTGTCCACTCAGCTTAGTCAATAGAACATGAGATACCTTTTGGTTTGTTTCTTTTGGTGGCCACACCTGGCTGTGGTCAGTACTTCTGGTTTTGTCCTCAAGAATGACTCCTCGCGACTCTCAGAATCATTATGGGGTACCAGGGGTCAAACCTGGGTCAGCGATGTGCAAGGCAAACACCCAACCCATTGTACTCTGACCCATGATTTTTTTGTTGTTGTTGAGGGGCTGTCACATTCAGCAAAGCCCCTGCCTGTGCACTCAGAAATTACTTGTGGTGATGCTTGGAGGATTATATGGAATGCTGGGGAATGACCCTCAGGTGGGCGCATCATGCAAAAAAATCTCCTCACCCACTGCACTATGTCTCTAACCCACAACCTATCAGTAGCACTGTAGCACTCTCCTCCTGTTGTTCATCGATTTGCTCGAGTGGGCACCAGTAATATCTCACAACAATTTGTGAGACTTGTTGTTACTGTTTTTGGCATATTAAATACGTCATGGGGAGCTTGTCAGGCTTTGCCGTATGGGCAAAATACTCTCAGTAGCTTGCCGGGCTCTTTGAGAGGGGTGGAGGAATCGAACCCAGGTCGACCATGTTGGCTGCATGCAAGGCAAACACCTTACCTGCTATGCTATCGCTCCAGCCCAACCTATCAGTAACTTAAAATATATATTTTTTTATTTTGGGGCCACACCTAGTGGTGCTCAGGGATTACTCATGGCTCTGTGCTCAGGGATCACTCCTGGCAGGACCTGAGGGACCATATGGAATGCAGGGGATCGAATCCGGGTTGGCCATATTCAAGG